AAAATGAAAGTGGAATTAGAGAACAGAGTACACAAGGGAAGTGTGACTTGGAAATATTTTAGTTTATCAGAATTATAGAATTTGGGTAGTCATTTGAAAATGTATCTTTTAGTATGAGTTGAGTGTGATAAAAGCACTAAAAATGCTTTTTTATTTTGAATTGAATGCTGTTTGTAAATTAACAAGGGAAATTAATTTCAGGAGATCTTTGGGGGATGATTGGATATTTAAATGTGGACCTATTTAATAGAATGGGCCACATTGTCTTTTTTTCTCCCAATCCCCTCCACAAATTTAAGATAAGCTTGCTCCCCCTACTCTAAAAGCTGTTCAACCCTTGGAACAACCTAGTTTATCATTAAAGAAGGTTATATTTCATTAGTGGAGTGAAGGGTGATAAAATTACGGTCTTGCAGATGCCCTTATTTTGTTTCTGGTTGTCTGTGATTCTTTGACCCGGTGGTACACAGCAGTTTTCTCCCCTGCAGTTGGGTTTTTCAGGGGTCATTGGCCTCTTTCAGGATCTCATAAAAAGGCTGTTACCATTTAAAGAGGCCACATCTTCCCAATCCATGTTGCTCATACCTTTTCTATTTCCTTGGCAGGCTCTTTTTTTAGGAGATAAGGTTTAAATGATAAAGATTATCTTAATTACAAGTCTGAATTTCTAAAGCATTTCAATTTAAAAATATAATAGAATATAGAAGAGACAGAGATCAGTTTATAAACTACTTTCAAAAGCAGATCCCATGACACCCTCTGGTATATCCAGATTACTTGCCTACATATATGAATTTTAATTTCTGTGGCTGATGGCAATACCCAGATTTTATTTTTAATTTTTTAGCAGTATAATCTTGATACAAGAGATAAAGCATGCTTTTACTGATATTGTTAAATTTCTAGAGATTGAAATGGATTACTTTTCATAGTGAAAAAGCATCCTTATAAAGGTATTGTTGATTTTTTGGAGACTGAAATTGGAATGTCTTTTATTTTCAAAAAGGGCTTTTACAAAAAGCAGAGGTCTTTGGGTAAAATATCCTACAAATATCCTACAGTTTTTCACAGCCAAAGAGTTACTTACTGAAAACCAGAACTTCTTTTTCTTCTTCTTCTTTTTTTTTTTTTTAAAGGGGAAGACAGTAAGCTTAGATGCCAAGAATTCAAATAAAGTGTTCTCTGGCCTAGTGTTTGCATTTAGTACAGATTTGTTAAAATGCTGGGTTTTTTTGTGTAGTTAATGTTATCTCTAGTGTCTGTTTTAAAAGTCTTAAAGGCACAGTGCATTGACTAAATGTTGTGTTTTGGGATCTCTTATGTATGTGATTTATAGTGTGAGAGGTGACTGCAGAAACAAAAAAATGAGATCTTGCTCTCAGGATATGGCACACTGGGTCAAACTAGTTCCACAATAATGATAGTTACCATTTATATTATTTTCTGTATATTTATTTATTTATTTATGAGTCAGAGTCTCACTCCATTGCCCAGGCTGCAGTGCACTTGCACACTCAAGATGACTACAGCATTGACCTGCTGGGCTCCGATGATCCTTCCACCTCAGCTTTCCAAGTAGCCGAAACTACAGACATGTACTACCACGCTTGGCTAGTTTTTGATTTATTGTAGAGACAAGGTCTTACCAAGTTGCCCGGGCTGGTCTCGAACCCTGTGGACTCAGGCAATTCACTCATCTCAGCCTCTTAAAGTACTGGGATTACAGGCTGAGCCACCAAGTCCAGTCTATTTTCTGTATTTTAAAATTGTAAACAGATTTTTTGCTTTTTGTCTCTGATTTATGAAACACTTATTATGTGCTAGCCCTGTGCTGAGGCTTTACACAATCATCTCATTTTATTCTCATGATAACCCCATGAGGTATGCTTCTTCTATCACTCATAAGGAAACAGGTATAAAGAGACTAAGGAAGCCGGGCTCGGTGGCTCAGAATCCCAGCACTTTGGGAGGCTGAGGTGAGGGGATTGCCTGAGCCCGGGGGTTCGAGACCTGCCTGGGCAACCTGGCAAGACCTCATCTCTACAATAAATCAAAAAATTAGCCGGGCGTGGTAGCGCGTGCCTGTAGTTCCAGCTACTGGAAGGCTGAGGCGGAAGGTTCGCCGGAGTCCGGAGCCCAACAGGTCAAGGCTGCGGTGGTAGGGAGCGGCCACTGCACTCCAGTCTGGGTGACAGAGTGAGACTCCAACTTTAAAAAAAAAAAAGAGAGAGAGACTAAGGAATTTGTCAGCATCACATGGCTAGTAATGCTTGCGAACTGAAAACAGAATCCAAATCTGCCTACTTGCAGTATCCATCTTCTTACCCTGCTACCCACCTCCCTCCACACTCAACTTCACACAATCTAAAGGATGAAACCAGTAACACAAGGTTTTCCTGTAAGAGTTCATGGAAACCTCAGAACAACCTCATTTCCAGCGAAGAAACATGGACTCAGTTAAGTGGTTTGCTGAAGGACACATAGGTGATGATCACAAATTTAAACCCAGGACTTTTTGATGTGAGGCCATCTCTAGCCACCAAACAAACCAGTGGGTCCCAGGATTGCCTGGATCAGATCAAACAGACAACAAATTTGAGGATGGTAGAAGGTTTTCAACATTGTACTTTGTCAAATAATAGCATTAAAAAATAAATCTATCCTCATCTTTTTATAAAAGGAACAACTTACTACTTTTTTTCAAGGACTTTTTTTTTTTTTGAGTTGGAGTCTCACTCTGTCGCCCAGACTGGAGTGCAGTGGCCGCTCCTGACCACCACAGCCTCGACTGCTGAGCTCCAGCGATCCTTCCACCTCAGCCTTCCGAGTAGCCAGAATTGCAGGTGCGCGCTACCATACCTGGCTGATTTTTGATTTATTGTAGAGATGAGGTCTCGCCAAGTTGCCCAGGCGGGTCTTGAACCCGCGGGCTCAGGCAATCCACTCACCTCAGACTCCCAAGGCGTGGGATTATAGGCTGAGTGACCAAGCCGGGCTAGGACTTTTTTTTTTTTTTTTTTTTTTAAGTTGGAGTCTCACTCTGTCACCCAGACGAGTACAGTGGCATGCTCACAGTCACTGAAACCTCGATCTGCCGGGCTCAGGTGATCCTCCCATCTCAGCCTTCCAAGTAGCTGGAACTATAGGCACATGCCACCATGCCCGCTAATTTTTTGATTTATTATAGAGATGAGGTCTTGCTAAGTTGCCCAGGCTGGTCTTGAACCCATGAACTCAGGCAACCCTCTCATCTTGGCCTCCTAAAGTGCTGGGATTTATAGGTGTGAGCCACCGTGCCTGGCAAAAAGGACATTTTATTTTTAAAAATTATTTATTTAGTTAGTTATTTTGGGTCAGAGTCTCATTCTGCTACCAAGGTTGGAGTACAGTGGTATAATCATGGCTCACTGCAGTCTCAGCCTTCTGGACGCAGGCGATCCCTCCACTTCAAGTAGCTGGGACTACAGGCATGTACCACCAAGCTTGGGTATTTTTTCTTTTTCTTTTTTGTAGAGATGAAATCTCCATATATTACCTAAGCTGGTCTTCAATTCCTGGGGTCAAGCAATTCTTCCACCTTGGCAGCATAGCAGGACTTCATCTCTGCAAATTAATTGTTTAAAAAATTGCCGGGCAGCCGGGCTCGGTGGCTCAGCCTATAATCCCGTGCCTTTGGGAGGCTGAGATGAGTGGATTGCCTGAGCCCGCGGGGTTCGAGACCCACCTGGGCAGCGAGACCTCATCTCTACAATAAATCAAAATCAGCGGGGTGTGGTAGCACGCACCTGTAGTTCCAGCTACTTGGAAGGCTGAGGTGGAAGAATCGCCAGAGCCCATCAGGTTGAGGGTGTGGTGGCCGGGAGGGGCCACTGCACGCCAGTCTGGGTGACAGGGTGAGACTCCAGCTCAAAAAAAAATATCCATGATAGGTGGCGCAACCACTTGGAAGGATGAGGTAGAAGGATCACCTGAGCCTGGGTGGTCAAGGCCTGTGGTGAGCTATGCTTGTGCCACTGCACTCTAGCCTGGGTGACAGAGTGAGATTCTAGCTCAATAATAATGAAGATAATAATAATAATAACAATTGCTTGCCTGGTGTGCCTTACTGCTCTACTTATTTTACTTTTTAAAATTTCTTTATTTCTTATTTTTTGAGTCGGTTTCTCACTGTCGCCCAGGCTGGAGTGCAGTGGCACACTCACAGCCTCCACAGCCTCCACCTGCTGGGCTCAGGTGATCCTTCCACCTCAGTCTTCCAAGTAGCTGGAACTAGGTGTGAACCTCCACGCCCAGCTAATTTTTCTTGATTTATTGTAGAGATGAGTTCTCACAAGTTGCCCCAGCTGGTCTTGAACCCTGGGCTCAGGTAATCCTCTCACCTTGGCCTCCCAAAGTGCTGGAATTGTAGATAGGCATGAACCACCATGCCTGGACTGTGTGATTTCAATATTTTTTTGTTTTTGAGTCAGGGTCTCACTCTGTCACCAAGGCTGGAGTGCAGTGGTGTGCTTATGGCTACCCCCGCATGGACTTGCTGGGCTCAGGCAATCCTTCTGCCTCAGCCTTCCAAGTAGCAGAACTACAGGTGTGTGCTACCATGCCCGGCTACTTTTTTGATTTATTGTAGAGACAAGGTCTCACCAAGTGACCCAGGCTGTTTCCAAACCCCTGAGCTCAGGCAATTCTCTTGCCTCGGCCTCTCAAAGTGCTGGGATTACAGGCTTGAGCCACCATGCCCAGCCCCTGAGAAGGCTCTCATTCATACCTTATTTGAGGAATTTAATCACCTTACTCATTTGTCATAGTAATTAAAGGAACTTTATAGTGAATCCAGGGTTTAAAGAATACTTTAGTATTGTTTTTTTTCTGTTTTTGTTTTGCTGTAAACATTCTCAGTTCCCTAGTTTTAACTAATATCAATAGTAAATATTCTATTTCAACTAGGGGAATGCATAAGAAAAAGACTCACTTCAGTGTTTTTTGTTGTTATTTCAGACTGAAACCTTGTGTGACTGAGCTCAAGAGCAGTGCATCCCGATTCTCCTCAGAAGTGAGACTTTCCAAAGGACCAATGACTCTGTTTCCTGTGCCCTTTCATTTTTTCCCACTCCGTAGCTATGTCTCGATCTCGCCATGCAAGGCCTTCCAGATTAGTCAGGAAGGAAGATGTAAACAAAACGAAAAACAGCCAGCTGAAGAAGACATCCAAGCCAGCACCATTAGTCAAGACTTTAAGTCCTGGAACATTAAAACAAATAATTCAAGAAAGAGATGTTAAGAAAAAAACAGAGCCTAAACCACCTATGCCAGTCAGAAGCCTTCTGACGAGAGCTGGAGCAGCACGCATGAATCTGGATAGGACAGAGGTTCTTTTTCAGAACCCAGAGTCCTTAACCTGCAATGGGTTTACCATGGCTCTCCGAAGCACCTCTCTCAGCCGGCGACTCTCCCAACCCCCAGTGGTCATAGCTAAACCCAAGAAAGTCCCACCTAAGGGTTTAGAAAAGCAACATGTTTGTGATTATAAGGTACTCACTGACTTGGGAGTAAAGCCCTCAGCAAATGATTCAGTCCCAATGCAAGATACCCGAATCCTTCCTGATTTAGAGACTCTAATTGGTGTACAAAATGCATCTTTAATTAAAGGTAAGAGCCAAGAGACAGCCCAGTCTTGGTCCCAGAGGGTTGAGGATTCCAAAATCAGTGTCCCCACCCATAGCGGCCCTCCAGCAGAGATCCTTTCTGGGCCACTGATAGGGACGCATTGTGATGAAGGACTGTTCTCTGAAGAGACATTGAATGATGCCAGTGGTTCCCCTAGAATATTTGCTCAGGACACTGTGTGTGCTCCTTTGCCCCAAAGAGCAGCCCCCAAAGTTACCTCTCAAAGAAACCCCAACATTCAGTTAGAAGAGTTGGGTTCACGAGTAGAATCTCTTAAGTTAACTGATTCTTACCTGGATCCCATCCAAAGTGAACATGATTGCTGCCCCACCTCCAGTTTAAAAAAGGTTATACCTGAGTTGAATCTTAGAAACTGCTTGTCTATTGGTGGGTCCACATATCCTACCTCTGTAATAAAATTCTTCTTGGCAGGCTCAGAACAAGAAACCCTTGGTGCTAAACCAGATCATCAAGAGGCCCTCAAAGCTACCGCAGATCAACAGGAAGTTCCTGATACCACCTCTGTCCTAGGACAGACCTTCGGTTCTCTCCCACATCAGTGGGAATTTCCTGGTGCTAACCCAGTTCATGGTGAGACCCTGGGTGAGACCCCAGATCCACCAGAAATTCCTGGTGCTATTCCAGTCCAAGGAGAGGTCTTTGGTACTGTCTTAGACCAACAAGAAACTCTTGGGATGGGCGGGGGTGCTGTCTCAGACCTGCCTCTCTTCCTTCCTGTTCCTCCAAACCCAATTGCTACCTGTAACGCTCTTCCCAAATGGCCTGAGCCCCAGAGCACTGTCTCATATGGGCTTGCAGTCCAGGGTGCTATACAGATTTTGCCTCTGGGCTCAGGACACACTCCTCAATCATCATCAAACTCAGAGATAAGTTCAGTACCTCCAGTCATGGCTCTAAGCAATGTAGAAAATGAGAAGCAGGTTCATATAAGCTTTCTGCCAACTCACACTCAGGGGTTCATGTTAGCCCCTGAGAGAGGACTCGGCCACACTTCGCAGGGTGTTGCTCAACTCTCCCAGGCTGGTCCCAGCAAATCAGAAAGAGAGAGCTCTCAGGTCAGCATGACAAGCACGACTGATGTCAACACCACAGTGGTGTCTGCACCCATGTCACTCGCCAGTACCTCCTCTTCTCCTTCCTATACCACTTTGCTGCCTACTTTGGAAAAGAAGAAACGAAAGCGATGTGGGGTGTGTGAGCCCTGCCAGCAGAAGACCAACTGTGGTGAATGTACTTACTGCAAGAACAGAAAGAACAGCCATCAGATCTGCAAGAAGCGGAAATGTGAGGAGCTGAAAAAGAAACCGTCCGTCATCGTGCCCCTGGAGGTGAGCAAATAAACAAGGGCCTGGGATATACCCATGACACTTGGTGTAGTGATTTGGATGGAGACCATTGGCTTCAGTATTATGTCCTTTGACTTTGGTAAAATGTTGATTTAAGTTACCTACACACGAATTTGTGGACCTACCTGAAGTACATCTTGTGCAATGATGCCTTAAATTATTTTTAGAATTTGTCCCAGAAAACTAGAACATACAGTTTTTCCATTATAGAACTTGTTGAAAACATAAGGAAATTGTATGAGATGTGATTTTGCAAAGATTTCCACTATGCCTCATTTTGGCTAGTTGTGTGTCTTTTTTGGAAGTTACAGATCTAAAAATTAAGAGTGGAACAAATTCATTAACTCCCTTGCAGCCCAAAAAACCAGAGCAATTAAACTTCTTTCCTTTTTTTTTTTTTTTTTTTCCCTGAATCAGAGTCTTACTGTGTTGCCCAGGCTGGAGTGCAGTGGCATGCTCATAGCTACTGTAGCCTTGACCTGCTGGGCTCAGGCGATCCTTCCACCTCAGCCTTCCAAGTAGCTGGAATTACAGGTGTGCACTACCATGACCACCTAATTTTTTTGTTTGTTTTTTTTGAGTTGGAGTCTCACTCTGTCACCCAGACTGGAGTGTAGTGGCCGCTCCCGGTCACCGCAGCCTTGACCTCCTGCTGGGCTCCGGCGATCCTTCCACCTCAGCCTTCCAAGAAGCTGTAACTACAGATGCGCGCTACCACGCCCGGCTGATTTTTGATCTATTGTAGAGATGAGGTCTCGCCAAGTTGCCTAGATCGGTCTCAAACCCGCGGGCTCAGGCAATCCACTCACCTTGGCCTCCCAAAGTGCTGGGATTACAGGCTGAGCCACCGAGCCCGGCCTAATTTTTTGATTTATTGTAGAAATGAGATCTCACCAAGTTGCCCAGGCTTGTCTCGAACACCCAGGCTCAGGAAATCCTCTTGCCTTAGCTTCCCAAAGTGCTGGGATTATAGGCTGAGCCACCGTGCCCAGCCTTTTTTTTTTTTTTTGAGTTGTAGTCTCACTCTGTCGCCCAGGTTGGAGTGCAGTGGCATGATCACGACTCACCACAGCCTTGGCCTCCTGGGCTCAAGCCAGCCTCTGTCTCAGTCTCTTGAGTAGCTGATACTGCAGGCACATGCCACCACACCCAGCTAATTTTTAAAAATCTTTTTGTAGGAATGAAATCTTACTGTTTTGCCCAGGCTGGTCCTGAATTCCTGGCCTCAAATGATCCTCCCACCTCGGTCTCCCAAAGTGCTGAGATTTAGGTTTGCAGCACCGTGACCGACTTTCTTTCCTTTTAATGGAATAAAATTGCATCCCTTTGCTCGAGCCTAAGAGTTCAAGGCTATAGTGAGCTATGAAGACATCACTGCACTCCAGCCTGGGTGACAGTGAGACTGTCTAAAAACAAACAACCCTGCATCCTTAATCGTGAAACTTTGTTTTAGAGACATAGCTTTCATCTTAACTTTTGAGGAGTGATTTCTATCTGTTCTATATATCTTGTAGGGTTGTTGGGATTAAGTGAAAATAGTTTGCAAACTCTAAAGTGATATACAAATATTTCTAATTATTACAGTTTATGAGCCTAATGTGGTAAAAGTATCTGCTGATTTAGGTTCTATGACCAAGTATAGTGGCTCATGCCTGTAATCCTAGCACTTTGGGAGGCAGAGGTGAGAGGATTGCCTGAGCCCACAGGTTTGAGACCAACTTGGGCAACATGGCAACACTTCATCTCTACAATAAATCAAAAAATTAGCAGGGTGTGGTGGCGAGTGCCTGTAGTTCCAGCTACTTGGAAGGCTAAAGCAGAAGGATCGCCTGAGCTCAGCAGGCCAAGGCTGTGGTGGCTATGAGCATGCCTCTGCACTCCAGCATATGTGACAGAGTGAAATTCTGACTCAAAAAAAAAAAAGAGGCCGGGCTTGGTGGCTCAGCCTGTAATCCCAGCACTTTGGGAGGCCGAGGTGAGTGGATTGCCTGAGCCCGCGGGTTCGAGACCTGCCTGGGCAACTTGGCGAGACCTCATCTCTACAATAAATCAAAAAATGAGCCGGGCGTGGTAGCGCATGCCTGTAGTTCCAGCTACTTGGAAGGCCAAGGCGGAAGGATTGCTGGAGCCCAGCGGGTTGAGGCTGCAGTGGCCGGGAGCAGCCACTGTACCCCAGTCGGGGTAACAGAGTGAGACTCCAACCAAAAAAAAAAAAGAAAGATTTTTTTGGAGTTCAGACTTTTTTTTTAGTCGGGATGAGCCACTGTGCCTGGCCACTTTTCAGACTTTTAAAACCACTGTCAGATCAGGCACTGTGGTCCTTGCCTGTAATCCCAGCACTTTGGGAAACTGAGATGGGAGGATTGCCTGAGCCTGGTAGTTCAAGACTAGCCTGGGCAACATGGTGAGACCTCATCTCCACAATAAATCAAAAAAATTAGCTGGACATGGTGGTGGTACCTGTGGTTCCAGCTATTTGGAAGGCTGAGGCAGAAGGATCGCCTGACCCCAGAAGGTCGAGGTTGCAGTGGCCATGAGCATGCCACTGCACTCCAGCCTGGGTGACAGTGAGATGCAACTCAAAAACAAAAAAAAACCTTACTGTAATATACTCTTTCATTATACAAGTCACTTCACACAGGTGGAAATAGACCAAACGTGGCCAGTTAATTTAAAACAAACAGTTAAAACACTTAGTAGCTATATTTTTAGCAGAGAGACCTCCTTTGTAAGCTACTAATTTGTAGCATTGCTAGCTCCCATTATTGTCAAAAACATTGTGTTTTTTTTTTGTTTTTTTTTGAGTTGGATTCTCACTCTGTCGCCAGACTGGAGTGTAGTGGCCGCTCCCGGCCATCGCAGCCTCGACCTGCTGGGCTCCAGTAATCTTTCCGCCTCAGCCTTCCAAGTAGCTGGAACTACAGGCGCGCGCTACCACATCCGGCTAATTTTTTGATTAATTGTAGAGATGAGGTCTTGCCAAGTTGCCCAGGCGGGTCTTGAACCCGTGGGTTCAGGAAATCCATTCACCTCAGCCTCCCAAAGCACGGGTTGAGCCACCGAGCCTGGCTAACATTGTATCTTTAATGGGCATAAGCACGCTGGTTCTCTTCTTTCCCAAAATTCCTCTTACCTCACATATTTGGTTCAATGGCATACCACATGGTCACCCAAAATGGAACATTCTCTCATCTTCCATGCCTGTGTCTCTCACTAATCTAGATTCTCTTATTCTACAAGTTCTGAGCACCCCTACCTCTTCATTTTCTTGACCACTGCCATTGTTGAGAGCTTTCTCCCTTATTGGGGTAATCTCACGGTTCTCTTTATTGTTTTGTTTTGGTTTTGGTTTTTTTTTTAGTTGGAGTCTCACTCTGTCACCCAGACTGGAGTGCAGTGGCCAGGAGCGGCCACTGCAGCCTCGACCTGCTGGGCTCTGGCGATCCTTCCGCCTCAGCCTTTCAAGTAGTCGGAACTACAGGTGGACGCTACCACGCCCAGCTAATTTTTTTGATTTATTGTAGAGATGAGGTCTCGCTACGGTGCCCAGGCAGTTCTCGAACCCACGGGCTCAGGCAATCCACTCACCACAGCCTCCCAAAGCGCGGGATTACAGGCTAAGCCACCAACCCCGGCTCAGTTCTCTTTATTATCTGCAAGTATTTATTGCACTTCTCTGGGCTGCGCACTGGGGATATAATCATCAGCATACTGGCTAGCAGGAAAGTCAGAAAGTTGAATAACAAGCTCTCCTTAGTGCAGTTCAAGTTTTCTTTCTGAAAACCTGACTGTCCTTCCTAAATACACTTAGCATTCTTCTGTATATGTGATATATTTCACTTGAAATAAAGCAAAAGAAATAAGCAAAACTTTCAGTGCGTTCCAGTTCTAGATGAAGCCTTGATTCATTAGCATGGAAATACAGGACCTTAGGGACCTGGCACCTCTGACCTCCTCTGTCTTGTTTGCCTTCATGTCTCTTCACAATACTCTTTTTTTTTTTTTGAGTTGGAGTCTCACTCTGTCACTCTGACTGGAGTGCAGTGGCCGGGAGCGGCCACTGCAGCCTCGACCTGCTGGGCTCCGGCGATCCTTCCGCCTCAGCCTTCCAAGTAGCTGGAACTACAGGCACGTGCTACCACGCCCAGCTAATTTTTTATTTATTGTAGAGATGAGGTCTCGCCAAGTTGCCCAGGCGGGTCTCGAACCCGCGGGCTCAGACAATCCACTCACCTCGGCCTCCCAAAGTGCTGGGATTACAGGCTGAGCCACTGAGCCCGGCCCACAATATTCTTGAGGTTGCAGCAGTTTTCAGCTGCATTTCCCCAATGCATTTTTTTTTTTGAGTTGGAGTCTCACTCTGTGGCCCAGGCTGGAGTGAGTGGCACACTCATGGCCACTGCAGCCTCCATCTGCTGGGCACAGGTGATCCTTCCGCCTCAGCCTTCCAAGTAGCCAGAACTATAGGTGCTTGCCACCACACCTGGCTAATTTTTATTATTGTAGAGACAAGATCTCATCAATTTGACCAGGCTGGTCTTGAACCTCTCATCTAGGCCTCCCAAGGTGTTGGGATTCCAGGCGTGAGCCAATGCACCCAACAGCTGCACACATTTATACTTAGTAATTTGATAAGTATGACATCTATACGCTGTGTAGCTATTGCCACAATCAAAATCTGTCACTCCCAGAATTTTCTTTGTGTCTCTTTGTTTTTCCTATCCATATCCTTGTATCCTTCCTCCCAAGGCAAACACTATCTTTTCTGTCACTAAAGATTAGTTTGTATTTTTCTGGAGTTTTATATAAACGAAATCATACAACATACACTTTTTTTTTTTTTTTTGGGTCTGGAAGAGTTTCTTAATTTTTTTTTTTTTTTTAGTTGGAGTCTCACTCTGTCGCCCAGACTGGAGTGCAGTGGTCACTCCCGGCCACCGCAGCCTCGACCTGCTGGGCTCCGGCGATCCTTCCTCCTCAGT